TCTGCCTCTCTCAATAAATTAAATTTGGTTAGAAAATCCTAATCTGGGTTAAAGTGGTGGGTCTAGTTTCAAATTTGGCATAATTCTTTATGCAGGATGCCTGCACGATCAGCCTTCAATTTCTGTTCCCATTTGCAGGCCAGCCCCAGGCTTCAGGTGCTGTTTCTGCCCCTGGGAAAGAAATTCACATGCACATCTTCTGTCCATTATTTTGTCTAAGGGATTTCTGGTGGACTTTGCACATGAGAAGATTCCAGCTGCCCTAGGAACGCAGCTAAGGCAGTCTTGCTCAGTGCACAGCCTGATCTTTGGTCAGGGAGAGGCAGTGTCCACTACTAAGACACTGTGTCTTTGGGCTGGGTAAACAGGACAGGAATTAAGGGATGCCAGGACAGTTTGTAACTGCTCCCGAGGGCTCTGCTTAGGCTTTCCACACACTTGCACCTGTTGCAGCATATCACTCTTCATGCCAAGTCGCTCTGCCACCCCAACCTGCTGCAGCAAGTGCACTGGGGAGGGGGGAGGGCCCTGCTAAGGCTGTTCCAAGCCCAAAGGCCACAGCTCATCTGTTTAGCTGTTCTACATGATCAGCTGGTAAAAGAACAAGAACACAAATAGGTGTCAAAGGTAAACGGGGAAATTAAATTTAAAACCTAGCTACCACAAACAGTACTGAGCTCTCTGAAGGGGTCCGAGTGCACCACCAAATTAGCCATGGAATTTGGTGTATGTTGATTAAACCCAGCTCGGAAAACTGGTTATCAGGCTTCACAGTCCCTCTGATGGGGCAGTTCCTATTGGTTAACTGCTTTGTAGAGTTTCCGAGGTATGTGTGATGTTACCCTTGGATAGAGGCATATGGTTTTGAACTTCCTCTGCCAAGGCTCATAAATCCTGTGCACACAAGGAAATCCATGCTGCACCAGGGGAGTGCAGAAGCCCCTTTTTGAAGATCCCATGACATGCTGGAATATTTAATAGCTAGCCCACAATAGGTTTTCTACAGGCTGCTTTGCCAGTGGTTTGGAAGTACTGTAGAAGGTAGTCAGGTCATCCTCAGTGGCAAAGAGTAATGACATAAAACCTTAAAAGTTCACAGAGGAATAATGGGCATGAAGTGAGTTACAGTAGCAGTGCTGAAGCAAGTGGCTTTGCTTGGTTTGAAATCCAACTCTGCAACTAGTCTCTCTGTTGCTTGTAATCAGGTGACCACAACATACAGTGGTGTGGATTATGGGGCAGGGCATGTGAAAACACCTGACTCCATGCCTGAAGCTTCTCTCCATTTAGGTTGAACTGGACAAGTTCTAGTAACTACAGGCTAGGGTTAACGTTAACACTTTTCAGTCTGCCTGCCTCAGCAAGTTTCAGGTTGTGAGAGAATTTTAAGACAAGCAGCCCAAAAATAGCTCAACCAACTAGTTTAATTGTGATAAAACAGGTTTTTGCTAATACAGTTTTGTATCCGGTTTGATTTGTCAAACCCCAGCCAGGGAAAAAGGTTGCATCTTATTTTGGAAGAGCTTCTGGTAAGCATAGAAGGAGGTGCTTGTACACAACTCCTGTAGCACAAGAAGAAACTGTTGCTGTTTCAGAGCTGTCTTTAAAAAAAAAAATCCATTCTAAGCAGGTTCTTACTCCTCAGATTCTCTGCCCTGCTAATCCCTTTTTTCTTTAAATTCCCAAATTGCAGTAATTCCCTTCTCTTGCCAAGAGTGTCCAGTGAGCAAATACTGTTAGAGTGGACCTGATCACACTCTGAGTTATGCTTAAATGTTATTTCAGGAAATTTCCCAACAGTCCATAATGATCAGCTGGTCATGTTTTCCCCAAGACAAAAAAAACAACCCATTTTAGACTTTGGCCTCTGGTATTTGAATAGTTCATACCTTATCACAGGCTTTCTGCTGCACATTTCTGCCTCTGTAGCAGGTCCTACACATATTCACTAGTTTATTATATACTGGCTTAAATAAAAACACTGATAAATTTCCAGGGAAAGGGTGCATAGAGGCAATCTTCCCATATTACCCTTTTTGTCCCATTTGGAATTATACATGAAAGCCTATTTTAAAACCCAGGGCATGCAGGTAGAGACTTATCAATTAACTACCTGTAGTAGATGCTGTATTTAATCCTTGGCCTACTTTCCGTTACCATATCTCATTCCTAATAATTTTTTTAATAGAATTATAGGAGTAGAAAGGTCTTCAAGTGGTCATGTAGTCCAACCCATGGTCAAGACAGATCTCCCCATCTAAACCACCCCAGACAAACTTCTGTTTGACCTGCACTTACACTTCCAAGAACAGAGAATCCACAACTGCTTATCTCCACATGTTGCAATTCTTGACCTGAAACAAGTAATGGCATGTACTCCATTTGTTAAGTGACACATTGGCTAAAAATTCAGAATCATGCTACTTAAAAAGTGGCTGTATCCTTGGTTGGACTTTCCCATATCCTTTTGTATATGGAATCACAGAATTATGGTCCGTTACAGCTTAGAAGACTAAGCACAGAAAGCCATGGCACAGTACACTATCCCTACTATCTCAGGATTTGCAGATTCTCTGCCATGAGAATCCTCTTGCAGCATGTTACAGGGCTTACAGCACTCACACGTCAGTCAGTAAATATTATAAGATTTCCGAGGTGGGCTTGAAAGCTATTCTGCTTCTTAGGGAAGGCATTTTCCTCAATGCTACTTAAGCCAAGACGTAGGCTGGCAAGATCATAGCCAACTAAAGAGATTTAAAAACTCTGGGACTCCAACTATTCACCTTTGCATGAATCTTGGAGTCACCCATCCTTTGATCCATTTCTCTGCTTAGTAAGCATAGCTTAAAAATGGAGGTTTGGGTCATGTTCAGTTCCAGGTAGTTTCTTTTTGAAGTTTCCAGTCCTTTCTGTAGTTGATCCTGAAGGTCAGCTGCCCCAGAAGACAACAGCATACATCCATTCTTATGTGATTACCCAACATCTGCACTGGTGTACCAAGAAATACTGCCAAGTGACAAATGTATTCCAGAGACAGCCAAGCAAAGCTTTAGGCCCAAGGGAATCTGCTCAAACCCTGCCAATGTATACAGTCTGATAAGGAATTCAGCTTCTGCCATTTCAGCAGAAATTTTGCTCCTTCCTACGCTACTGCTCCAATTCCTGTAGGTTAGTAGAGTTAAGTCTGCTCCTCTTTATTCTACAAACATTACAAGCAGCTCAACTGAACTTCC